CAGGTCATTTTCTGTCTGGATACAGGATGAATGGATTTTGTTCAGTTGCTGATAATGGAGATTGTAACATGCGGTCACTCTCACTGCACCCGAAGCTGATATTTCAGGAGGCGGGATCTGGAGATTTGAAGCTGCGCTGCTCCAACCAAACAGCTAAATACACACATGGGAGCTGTGGCTGTGTTACCTCTGCCCATCCAGCCCCGAGAGTCACACAGCTCTGCCACAGAAGAAGCCATGAGCTGACCCAGCCCTCCAGACTCGACCTATAACCAAAATATCACTTTTGGACGATCTGATCACTTGCAGGACAACTCAAACAGCAAATCACACGGCTGAAACACAGAAACTTCCCAAGTAATGCACATAACTCTAAGACCCCCTCCCCTCACCCCAGCTGTGCTATATGGCTGTACAGCATGAGGAGGTAGAGACCACTTTTCAGAGCTCGCAGCCCCCCCCCCATGCATCCTCTTTGGACTGCTAGTGAGCAATGCCTGACCTGAGCTCGCCACCTTGTCCATTCAGAATGGAGTGACAGGGTCTCTTTAAAAGGCCACCCCCCTGACCCGGGTCTGCTCCCCCTATCAGCGATCCCGCGAAATGACGATGACTGGGAGCGACGGCATCACCCTCCGGGTATGCAGTGGCCTGGTAGCCCCCTTTAGGCAGATGCGATCGAGCAAGGAGCAGCAGAAGAGCACTGGATCGAGGGGCGGGCTTCCTGACTGTGATTGGTCGTCAGTGATCAGGTGATCGGGAGCTCTTTCTACCAGCTCTTGATTGCTGCTATGTGACCGGGAGCTGTCAGGGACTATGTGGTCACAGTGCTGGGAATAAGCAGCTCCCCCCCCTCCCAGCCAGCAAAGCCAACTGTGTATGTGTGTGTATATATATATATATGTGTTACGACAGGGGTGGGGGAGAGGGGGGGCTAAGGGACGACACCCCATCACCTTGCCCATTCAGATCCTAGTATCACGGTCTCTTCTTTCCCCTTCCTGCTGGCCGTATGCATAAGCGTGGCCTTAATCCCAAACTGCCCCCCCCCCGCCTATATGCGGGCAGCAATGGCGCCCCCTTGCGTTCATAAAAGTGCAGTCAAACATTTTTACTATCTTTCCGTCTGCGCACACGTGCGAACACTTCCTGTTCTCAAGGTATCTGCCTTGAGAACAGGAAGTGAAGTCACCGCGTTCTTTTAAGTAGGGGTATCTGCCTTGAGAACAGGAAGTGAAGTCACAACGTTCTTTTAAGTAGTGGTATCTGCCTCGAGAACAGGAAGTGAAGTCACAACGTTCTTTTAAGTAAGGGTATCTGCCTTGAGAACAGGAAGTGAAGTCACAACGTTCTTTTAAGTAGGGGTACTTGCCTTGATCACATGGGGGTTTGAAAAGGAAAGCGTGCACCCCCAGCAATCAAGAATCCCTGCCATGAAGGACAACGCTCTGCCGCTGCCACCCAATTGACCTGTGTTGTCACCCTGCCGCCTGAGCTTCTGATGGAGACTACAAGCGGCCATTTCAGCTCACATTGCACAGGCATGGCCCACTGTTGTCACCATAAAAAAAAAAAAAAATGTTTCCTCCGGCTGTACAACGGGGGAGGTTGTCCTGCGCCCCCTAGTGGTGTAAACCGGAATCCAGTCTCCCAGTACGCAGGCCTGAGGCTATAACAGGACGCAGTCCGACTCTTGCTTCCGTCCCTGCCGCCGCTCCGAGGGGGAAGGGCGCCCCGAAGGCTGAGGCCTGGCCTGGAGGTGGGAAAAGAATCTCAGTTACAAGTTGTAGAAGCTTCAACAGACGGCAATAAAGACACTGACAGAGGTCCTAACCCTTCCCTGCTTTTATTTGTATTGCCTGGGTCACCATTGGACAGATTTCCCCTCAATGTGTGAAGTCACAGCGTTCTTTTAAGTAGGGGTATCTGCCTTGGGAACAAGAAGTGAAGTCACAGCGTTCTTCTAAGTTGTGGTATCTGCCTTGAGAACAGGAAGTGAAGTCACAACGTTCTTCTAAGTAGGGGTATCTGCCTTGGGAACAGGAAGTGAGGTCAAAGCGTTCTTTTAAGTCGGGGTATCTGCCTTGGGAACAGGAAGTGAGGTCATTACGTTCTTTTAAGTCGGGGTATCTGACTTGGGAACAGGAAGTGAAGTCACAAGGTTCTTTTAATAGGGGTATCTGCCTTGAGAACAGGAAGTGGAGTCACAAGGTTCTTTTAAGTAGGGGTATCTGCCTTGGGAACAGGAAGTAAGGTCACAGCGTTCTTTTAAGTAGGGGTATCTGCCTTGAGAACAGGAAGTGAGGTCACAGCGTTCTTTTAAGTAGGGGTATCTGCCTTGAGAACAGGAAGTGAAGTCACAGCGTCCTTGATCACATGATCGGTCCTGGGGGTTGGAAATGGAAACCGTGCAGCCCCAGCAATCAAGAATCCCTGCCATGAAGGACAACGCTCTGCCGCTGCCACCCAATTGACCTGTGTTGTCACCCTGCCACCTGAGCTTCTGATGGAGACTACAAGCAGACATTTCAGCTCACATTGCACAGGCATGGTCCACTGTTGTCACCATCAAGAAACCCGCCCTTGAATAAATGCCATGCAGCCATCACGGGAGTGTATGTAGACAGGAAGTGGCTGGAGATCAGCAACACTGAGAAATGCCACGCAGCCATCACTGGAGTGTATGTAGACAGGAAGTGGCTGCGGGAGATCAGCAGCACTGAGAAATGCAATGCCACCATCGCTGGAGTGTATGTAGACAGGAAGTGGCTGGGGGTGATCAGCAGCACTGAGAAATGCCACGCAGCCATCACTGGAATGCATGTAGACAGGAAGTGACTTGCAAAGCTATGTACCAAAGAATGAAAAAAACATTTTCTTCCCGGAAATGGAAATTGTTTGATACACGGGGAGGTCAGAGATCTCCTTACCACTTCCTGGGCCCCTTTAAGACTCATGCATTGTGACTGGTCGTCATTCACTAGCGGCAGCCAATCACAAGCTTCCCCTCAGGATTAACGCTCAGAAGACTCCTGCGGTGTGATCTATAGGGAGGACCTCGGGATTTACCTATGAGGGTGATGTCATGGATGTAAATACGGGCGGGATTAGCACAGGCAGCAGGTGGCGGCAGGAAGTCTCAGTCACCGGTATGTAAGAAGTGAGATTAGACTCCGCGGTTCTGACTCAGCCCAGATTACAGATCTCTATCCTGAGGGGTCTTAGTTATTTCTGAGCGACTATGTCATTCCCAACACATCGCCGATGAGTCACACGGAGGGGGG